AAGCAACAGCAATCTCTAATTGGTTCCAACTCGGTGACCCTGTACAGAGTTCCCAAGGTTAAAAATCTTTACAAGAGCAGAAAGCCTCATCTTTCTCCCAAATGAAGCGATTAAACTAGAAATTTATGGAAATATAACTAGAAATATTAAAATAAGAAATTCTACATTAACAAGAATTCCTCCCAATCTTTCTAAAACTCGAGAATCTGATAAAATGATAAATGCTCTCCCATAAAAATATACATAAGCACAAACTTCAAAACTTCAGAGGGTTCAAGGATTCTCCTGATAGTAATATATGAAACAGGTAGGTATTCAGTTAAGTAGACCTTCAGAACATCGGAGTCAGTTAAGGTAACATAACAAAAACAAATATTTATCTCTGAGAGATCAAAATGAAATGGAAATACTGAATTAAAACTACATAAGGTCGCTATGGGTCGGTACCGACTCGATAGCACGTAACAACAACAACTAACAATCATGAAGCAAGGCACCTGGAGATAAACTTTTAAACTGAGAGTATAATTTAAATGAACCAAATCAAAAGACAAACACAGGTCTCTAGAGAAACCCATCCTTACTGATCCTCCTGAAATGGCACCGCCCTCATTCAATTTCTAGCCTCTGCTCCCACATGCAGAAAGTCTCTACTTCTTCTATGGCACTTACATACCTGGAATATGTTACACATTTGGGATGTGCCTTAAACCTTCCGAGGAACTTAAAAGATTCCTGAAGAAGTTAATACCCTTTTGCTTCAGGAATTCTTTCAGTGCTGTGTGGATAATTGGTGCAGCCCAAATAATCAGATAAGGAACAGGGATTTTGAGAACTCATCGCTTTTGGGTATAATAACAGGAATTCCTTTGGAAGTATTAGAATTATTCTTAAAAGATCATGAGTTATTTACAATTAAAGTTTGTATGTCGCCCAGAGAAAACGTGGAAAATTATGTTGAGAGTGGCAGTAAAACCAAGCAAAAGCCTTGGGAACTCTCCAACTGGAGCGCTATTTTAACGACAATAATCAAGATAGTTCTCTTTATCTAAATACATTTTAACTTTTATGGATCCGCTGATTTGTTTGCTTAAGACATCAAAATTATTTTACTTGTGAAAATTTTCATCCGTTTCCTCCAGATGTAACAGGATCTCCTCGGCGCACTCCAGGGAGGGAGCGCCCGTGATTTTCTCCTTCACGCTCTGTAACAGTTGCCTCAGCATTGCCTGCAGCATCGTCTCGTCTTCGCGGGAGAAATGCGCCATCGTGGGTCAGAATCAAAAGCCCACGGCCATTACTCTGGTTCCGGGCAAATGCCAAGCACCGCGCAGGCGCGCCGCCACTCAGTCCGGGCCAACGTGCAGAGCCGTTCCCTGGGAAACCGCGGCTAGCGCTCATGGGCGTGTGATTGGCTGCCAGCACGTAGTTCCTGAAAATTTGTCACCTCACTTTGGGAAAACAGGGATTTGCGCGGCCCCGCCTTTAGTGCTCGTTGTTCTCAGTCTCTAGTACCAAGAAAACCCAAACCACCCAGACTAATGGCAAAATGTTAAAAATCTAGGAAAGATCCAAGCAGGTTCTGATGGGAGGGCCTGTAGTAGAACGTCAGAGCTACGCGTGACGTTAGCCTGTGGATGTGGCTTCCATGATAGGAGAGAATGTCACATGGTGACATTCCCGGGCTCCGGAAGGAAGATTCAGGTTGACTCACGGTCTCTGAGTTGTATGTGTGTGTGTGTGAGTCTTTTTGTACAGAGTACGAAAAGAAAGGAGTCAAGAAAAGAAAGATAGTAGAAATGAAACTGAAAGTAGCATGACAAGTTTCAGCGAAGAGTGATGAAATGTTGCTATGTTGTTTTCCTGTTTGGATCAAAGAAGCTAACTACTGAGCAACCACCTCTTACTAGGAGCTGGGGGGGAAGGCGCGCTCATAGTCTAATAGACGCCAAAGAAAAAACGGTTACATTGAGAGGATTGCAATCAATGAAATCAAAATACTATGATTTGTTGAATGTAAAACTGTTAAACCTTCACACAATTCCCAATAAAAACTTAATAAGCAAAAGTTGGCGATTGCATAAATACCATTCTAGAGAAAAGCAGCTGCTGTTGTTAAATTCAGTGGAGCCAATTCCAACTCCTGGTGACCCTGTATAGGATTTCCAAGAAGCACCTGGAGGGTTTGAACCACAGACCTTGTGGTTTGTAGTCCAGGGCTTATTCTACAGCGCCACACCAGCGGGTAGGTGCTGTGTAAACCCAGAATCACCTTTTAACACAGCAGAAATAAAGAGGAAAGAAACAAAAAGAAGGAACAAAGTGGGACAAACAAAGGCTGGGCATATGAGACAATCTGGCATAGTTAGTGATTTAAATTAATTGGATTATTTTGAAAAGAGGTGAAGAGGCTAGGATGGAAATTGGCCATGCCTGAAAGATGACAATTGCCACTTTAAGAGATCAAGTAAGACCCAACTGCTAACTGAAAGATTGACAATTTAGAACCCACTCAAACAATCCACAGGGGAAAGACCTGGTAATCTGCTTCCATAAAGATTCTAGCAAGAAACCTATGGGAAATTTATACTCTGTCA